TAACTGACATTTATTGAAAACACAATATGCATCAGCTACTGTTCTAATGTATTAACAACTTATTAATCCCCACTGTTACCCTATGAATTACATAAAGTCATTATCCTTGTTTTACAGGTGACAACTTGAGCAAGTGTTGATAGGTGGCCCAAGGTTACAGAATTGGTCAATGGTAGAGCCAGGGTCTGAACCAAGATAGCTGGGTTACAGGGCTCATGTTCTTAAGCACTCATATTTCCTTTCTCTCAAGCAGATCCTGTGGATGTGCTGGTAGAGTGAATGTTGGTGGTTGAAGCAAAAGCAGAAATCAGAGATGACTTAGATTTTTGGATTGAGCACCTTGGTGGATAGTAGTGTTATTTACTAAGATAGGAAATATTAGGGAAGCTATAATCTAGGGGTGGATGCATATGTTGGATAGTGATGGTGGGGAGGGTGGTAGTGGAAGGGGAATTACTTGTTCTATCTTAGAAATATTAAGTTTTCGATATCTTGAGTAGAATATCAAGTAGGCAGTTTAATGTATGACACTAGGGTTTAGGAGCTAGGTAAGGGCTGGGGAAAGTAATTTAGGACTCATTGGTAGAAAATTGGTCTTTAAAGCCAGATTCCTAGATAAGGTAGATCTAAAAAGAAAATAATAAGTTCCATGTTTAAGTTCTAGTGCACTTAGGTGGAGAAGAAGCCAAAAAACAAGACAGAAAAGGAGTAGCTGGCAGGTAGGGGGAGAGCTTGCAGAGTGTGGTGTCTTGAAGTCATGAGGCAATGATTCCAAAACTCAATTTATTGAACAGCCCACCCCTTTCCCCATTGATCTGAAATGCTACAGTTACCATATTTTCCACCCGTATTTACCCAGGTTTATCTCTATACTCTTCCACTCCTCTTTTTTATTCTGCCCTAAGCACACACATGGTCCTGTATCAATCACTGCCTTACATTAGGTTGTAATTTTCAAAACTTTCTGGCTGTGCTCACATATTATTTTTTCTAGATTTGTACCAACTTGTCATATTCCAAATAATGCCATTGGGATGGCATTGAATTTATACAACCATTTGGGGGAATACGGACATCTTCTTAACGGTCAGTCCTTCTCACCAGGAAAAGGGTATGCTCCTCTTCCATTCAGCTTTTTTTCCTATATCCTCAGCAAAGATTTATAGTTTTCTTCCTGGAGGTCTAGCATGCTTGCTCATAAGTTTATTCCTAGATATTTTATGGTTCTGGTTGCTAACATATATCAGCTCCTTTTTATTGCACTCCTTAATTGATTATTGCTGGGTTTATTAGAGTTCTTTGTTGTAACCCACAGACACCAACTCTGACCAACTTAAGCCAAAAGGGAACTGAATGGAAGCAAATGGGGGAGTTCATTTGACTAAAGGGAGACTCAAGAACCAGGCTCAGAATGAGTATTACTTTTTATAATAATAAGAAAAGCTGTTTTAATTAAGAAATTTTATCAAACTCAAAGTCAAAACTAAAATGTGGCAGTTAAAAGATTTAAAATGGAAACATATTAATATCTTTATTATATAAATAACACCTCAAAGTGTAAAACACTATGAAACCAAAAGATAAATGACCAAAAGACAAAAATAAACACTTTACAAAATAGAAAAATAATTACCAAATATTTGAAAAATTATTCAGTTTCACTAGTAGTAAAAGAAATGTCGTATAATAAGGTACTGCTTTTTCATCTGTCAAATTAACAAAGTTTTTTTTGTAAATAATTAATTCTGTCAAGGGTTTAGGAAAATTGTATTCTTATCCATTGCTGGTAAAATGATATAGGAAGTGTCAAAAGCCTTAAAGATATTCACAGTTATAGTAAGTTGTTGACTTAGCAGTTATACTTTCAGGATTCTATCTTTTGAAAGTGATTCTAAATATAAAACAAATTGAATGTGCAGAGATGTTCAGTGCAGCTTTATGTATGAAATAGTACAAAATTAGAAGCAGTTCAAATGTGGGAAATGGTTAAGGATATTATGGCACATCCAACTTGGTAGAAGATTGAGTGAACTTTAAATGTGAGTTTTATGAAAAGTAAATAACAAGTAGGACAGCTAATGTTAATATGTGGAGGGAAAGAGCACCCAGCTGTCTGGAAGGAAATACACTTTAGTGGATATCTTTGTTTCCTAGGACTTAGGTGATGTTGCTTTCTACTTTTCTGCAATTTTCCCAAATTTTCTATAGTGAGTACATTTTACTTCTGTAATATAACAAAAATATGAAAAAATTTCCAGCAAAGCCTGTGTATACTTTGAGCTGGTTGTTCTTTTAATTCTGATTTCCTAAAGGCAAGGACCTCAGACATGAATTTTCCTGTCTTTCCTATTCTCTGCCTCTAACCATATTGGGTGTTCTGGCCCTTTTCGAGGCTACCTCGTCTTCTCTGGAATCCTGCTGTCAGTTTTCCTCAGTCTCCAGTATCTTCAATCTCTTCCTCTTCATTGGCTTCTTCCCCTCAAGCAACACTATACACAGATCTCATCTTTCTTGAAACAATCGTTACTTGACTCTTGCTTTTAATCCTCACAGTCCTTTTTCTCTCCTTTTTTGCTATCACATTTCCTTTCTTTCATTATCATTGTGTTTTTTTCTCTCTCACATCTATTTGAAACACACCCTGGAAGGTCACTAACAACCTTCTAGTTTGTATATATTAAAATGACAGAGCGAGAAGGGCCTCCACACCAGGCCAAGCCTCTCATTTTTCAGATTCCAGCACTGCCGTTTACTGTCTATGTCACTTTAGGCTTTATTTCAGTCCTCTCTGTGCCTTAGTTTCCTCTCTTGCAAAATGGGGGTAACATTGAAAATCTACACTAAAGTCGTTATGGGGAATAAATGTGTTAATATGTACAGCGCTCGTAGCAGTGCTTGGCACATGGACACGTTCAACAAAAGATGACTGTTTTATAACAACCCACAGACAAGAAAAATTTCACCGGTATGAGGAGCCTGGCGTAAGGCATGGCCATTCCGAGGCTGGAGGCCTGATTCTTCACTTCCGGTTTAACCCTCTTTCACCGCGTCATACTTCCTCTTAAATTCTTTTCTACAACCTTTCTGTGGTATTTGAGATTATGGATTATTTCCTCCTGAAATCCTACTTAACTCACGACGCTACTTCGTTCCTTTATATCCTCTGCTATAGAGTTTCTCTTTTGCCCCCTACATTTTCCGCAAAGTGCGATCCTAGCGCTGTGCTCCTCTCCTCTTAGTCTTATGATGTCTTGGCTTCATCTTTTTCCTCCATATGGTAATTCCCTGCCCTGACCAAGATTGTAGCTTTGTACAACTCCAGGGGGCACCATTTACATCTTAGTGTATGTGAATGCCACCCCCTGGAGTTAGGCAGTGCCCAGTCTACGTGTCTGTGTGCTGTGACTCTGGTCCTGACCTCTCTCCTTAGTTGCTGCCCAACATGTCAGACTGCACATTGGACATTTGGATGTTCCATCATGACCTCTAGTTTGTGCGTAAAAACTGGTCACTTCACCTCACCTCCCAGACTAGTGACTTTTCCTCACCTTTCTACCTCCATATAGCGAAAGTCCATTCAACCAAAGCTCAACACCAGGTCCTAAACCCTAGGATCATATCTTCCCTCCTAATATCTTATCACTCATGCCCAACCAATCTGTCAGGCAGCTGAATTCTGTTTTTGAAACCAGCACAAACTTGGAGAAAATGATGGTCACAGTAGCCTGAGCTGAGGCTGGGCTCCTGGAGAAGATGCCTGGCTGGGTGAGGCGAGGGGCCAATATGAACTGTGGTGATGGAGACAGTCAGAGGTCAGAACCAAAGCAGTAGTGTTAGGGGTCAAGTCCAAAGTGTGAGGGAAGGTGTACAAGGGCAACGAGGCAAGGGATTGGTGTGACATCAGGAAGAAATGAGAACAGTGTGTAAGGCTGACTGAAAACTCAGGTGTTAGAGGGTTGGGGCATTGCTTACATAGCCGGGGACTGATCCCTCGGGTCCTCCTTGACAAGGCAGCCACTCATTCCCACTGGCAGTCTCTTAATTCACTGCCTCAGAGCTTCCACCTCCTGTTGGATCTCCTTGCTTCTGATTCCACTCCTCCCCCGACATTAGATTAATTTTCTGTATTCTTTGCTTTGAGCATCTTTCTTAGTCCATTTGGGCTGCTATAACAACAATACCACAGCCTCGGTGGCTTATAAACAACAGACATTTATTTCTCACAGTTCTGGAGGTTGGCAAGTCCGAGATCAAGGTGCTGGCAGATTCAGCATTTGGCAAGAGTCTGCTTCCTGGTTCATAGAACGCACCTGAATGTCATATCCTGGAGCAAATAAACCCAGGGGAAATGGAGCCTGCTAAGTGGATGAGGGTAGTGTGTTGATCCACTTGAGGCTCTCTTTGAGATTTGGGCAGCAGCAGCATGGGCAGGCAGTGGGATCCTGAGTGAGTGTTCACGTAAGAAGGCCACCCGAGTCCAAAAGGGGAAACAAAGTAAGGAATCCGAGGGTTTATTCAAAGATAAGCTAGTCAGAAGAACCAATATCCCAGATGAGAACAATGTGAGAGCAAAATTGGGAGGGAGGAGGGCCAGGCACCGTGATGAGGGATTCCAGGGTGCCCCTGCTGCTTTCTCAGCTGGTTACACAGTCACTGCAAGACACACGGTAACTTTCAACATGAATGGCACCTACGTCTGCACCTCACTGTAAAGCAGGGCTCAAAAACACCTGGTTTGGTTTCGGGGCCAGCCGGTGGCATAGCACTTAAGTTTGCTCATTCTTCTTTGGCAGCCTGGGGTTTGCTGGTTCGCATCCTGGGTGCGGACCTATGCACCACTTGTCAAGCCATGCTGTGGCAGGCGTCCCACACATAAAGTGGAGGAAGATGAGCACAGATGTTAGCTCAGGGCCATTCTTCCTCAGCAAAAAGAGAAGGATTGGTGGTAGACGTTAGCTCAGGGCTACTCTTCCTCAAAAAAAAAAAAAAACACCCACCTGGTTTGGGGCTTTCTGTGCTGTTCTTTAGGCTATTTTTTTCCCCAAAGCAGAACTCATCAATACCTGCATGCCACAGGATGATGCTCGTGGAGGACAGGATCTGAAGTCATCATGAGGCATATGGAAGAAGCAGTACCATCACCGTCCAGATGATGCTTTGTTAGATGCTTCCCTCTCACCAGGTCCCTGCAGTGCAGTTTCTTGCCCAGGACATTCCTGGCCAAACTGTGGGCTTGGATGGAGGCCAAGCAGCTGAGTACGAGTCTAGATAAGATGGAAGGTGATGTTGCTCAGGGGAAAACAGCTGGCTAATGTCATTCAGTTCATCTTGGCTCTTCCACCTGGGTAATTTTCCATTTTTATATGATTTCAATATCTGATATTGCAGCATCCAGGATTACTTTTGAAGCCTCAAATAATAGCTCAAAAGGTCAAGAAAGCAATGTCATGATGAGAAATGATATTAGAAGCAACACATGCATGATCTTACGCTTGTGAGAAAACTTTGGTGTATATGTATATACAGACAACTGTATATTTCAGGTCACCAAATCTTCAAAAAGACAACATGGATTAAAAGAAAAAAAAAAAAAGATCCTTACAAGGACAACTAAAATGACTAAAAGGAGATGGCAGTTTTTATTGTGAGAGCAGACTGAAAAGATTACCCTCTTCATCCTGCAAGGGGCTTGGACTGCAGCCCATAAATCAAGAAGCAATGGGAAGGCTGGGGCGAACACCACTTTGTCCATCGGATTCCATGGTGCGGCCGCTGAGAGTGCCACTTAAAGCTTGACAAAGCTCCTTTCAGGATACAGAAAGGTAGGTGAAAATTTACACATGAGGTCATAACAAGAACTGTGTTGTTTCATGGGTGCTGAAACTGAAAATATAAATATGATTGATGAGAGTTTGTAAACATTGATCAATGATCCATAATGGGCAAATTAGAGATGTTTGAAAATGCTCCTGATGTAGACTTTTGAGGTCAGGGAGAGGGATAAATCTGACATGTTGGGTTGGGAAGATCAACATTTGACCTAGTGTGGCATTTCCTACATTACTTTGAGGTAGCTCTTTGTGTCACTGACCTTGAAGTTGTAACCTCACTTCTCACCATCTGTATCTGTAATTTTATTACCACATTTTTATTCTAAAACAAAAGGGCAGTTAGGAAGTGGTGTGCTGTCTTTTTGTTTTATAGTAAAATGGTTTACAAGTATATACATGTACTTCTTTATACTGTTATGATTGAGAACTTTATACTGTTGAGAGAAGATGAGGTCATCTGCCAAGTAATTGAAAAGTTGTGTTTAAATAGAATGTGAGAATTGCCTGGTAGGAGTTTGTTAAAAATGCAAAATACTCACCTCGGTAGTCTGAGGTGAGCTCCAGAAATCTATGTTTTCAAGTCAGTTCACAAAGGATTCTAATGTAGTTAGTTCTGATCCCACAGTTGAAGAAATGTTGAAAAAAGAGGCGGATTTCCCTCAGCCTTGTTGCTAACCCACAGAGCGCCTTCGTGGGAACTGGAAAAAGCCACCCCTCCCTCAAACACTTGATTGCCATCTGCCAGAAACTAAATGTACAAGTCTACAGAGGTGAACAGTGCTCCAAAGCTGTACAGTGCACAGCCTGCACACATGTACGTGGCCTTGTTTTCTTTCAAGCTTTCAGTTTAAAGCTTAAGCATCCTTTGTGCACAGGAAGCAGCAGAGAGCGAGTGCATCTGTCCCTGGCAGGGGGCCCTGGCAAGAGGCTTCTTATTCCCTTTTCACCCTTGTTATCATAATTGACTTCCGGCAGAACATGGACAAGAGGAGAACATGGACCTCAACAAAGCAAGGGGCAGGGGAACAGAGAAGTAGTTTTAGTTTTTTAATGAAAAAAAAGTAATACACACTATAAATAGTGATAATTTATGCTAATAAGTTAAAAATAAAATATCAAGACTGCAAGTGTGGTATTTATTTTAAAAATAATACCAATAATAAACGTCACATCTGAGTCACAAAACAACTTGCCGCTTTGGACATTTTGGAATATTTGTCATTTTATGCCTAAATTTTCCATCTACAAAATGGCAACTTTCAGTGCAACTTCAAATATCCTACATTCGAGGTTCTACACAAACAACTAGCAGTTACATTTCTAGATGCAACTATCTTTTCCTACAATGCAAGTTTCGTCATTATTTCATCCAGTTTCTTTGTCTCCTGCCTTATTTCCTCCTCCCACTCTCTTTGTGTTTTTCTCCTTTCTCATTAGGGACCCGTTATGAGCCATGTGGGAGTTTCCAAACACTGTCACTCCGTTTCATCCACTTTTCTCCATCCCTGCAGTCTTCACCTCAGCCATCTGCCATAATCCTGGTCTTGGATTACTGTGTTCAGCTCTTATTGGTGTCTCTGCCTCCAGTTTCTTCTTCTAATCTATTCTGCATATCACAGATGAAACGGTTTCCTGAAATAATTTTTTCAGAGTGTCTTTTGTTTGTCCAAGAATTAAGTGACTCAATCAATTGACCCCCACCTCACCTGTCCAGCTTTCTGTTGCTGCCTTCTGTCCTGTTGATTTCAGCAACATTCACCACATAAATGATTTTATCACTGGCTCAGTTCCTTTACTCAAAGTTCTCCCTGAGAAGACACCTTAGGGTGAAGAGTTTTTCATATATATGTATTTAAATACACCCTTCAGTTCAAGGGTGGTTGCCTGACCTGGCTGTGCATCAGAATCAGTGGGAGAGATTTTAAATAGCACAGTGCTGTTCACCAGCCCCAGAGGTTCTAATTGCGTAGTTCTGGGTAGGGCCTGGACTCAGAGATGATTTAAAAGCTCTGTGGGTGACTCTAGTTGGCAGTTTCCCTCAGTGCTGGAAAGGCAGCAAGTGTTCAGTCATCATTGAGGGAGTCAACGCATGTCACCCCTGTCCTTAAAATCTACCGGTGGCTCCTCGTAGCTCTTGGGATAAACATCAAACACCTTAGTTTAGCACACAAGACTCTTCATGACTGGCTCTTGCCTACCTCTCTTGCTTCATCTTCCGCCATTTTCCCACATCAGCCTTTGCTGCAGTCCCACTGAATCTTCCCTCTCCTAAATCCCTACAGTGTTCACTTTGTACTTCTTGTGGTGTCACACTTCTTATCTTCTGTGTCGGCATCTGTGCCCACGCCTTACCCCTCCCACTAGACTGTAAGCCTCTTGAGGACAGATCTCTCTCTGATGGATCTTTGTCTCTCCCATGGAGCTAGCACAATATCTCACATGCATATTTGTTGCCTAAATGAACACATTTCGCTAGCGTTGTCACTAGTATATACCCTTTGTAGGAACAAATACATTTCTCTTTTCCTTTCATTGTTTGAATAGATTAAAACTTACAGTGAAATACAAATGTTCTTTACACCTCTTTTTTTTTTTTAAGATTTTATTTTTTTTTCCCTTTTTCTCCCCAAGGCCCCCCGATACATAGTTGTATATTCTTCGTTGTGGGGCCTTCTAGTTGTGGCATGTGGGACGCTGCCTCAGCGTGGTTTGATGAGCAGTGCCATGTTCGCGCCCAGGATTTGAACCAATGAAACACTGGGCCGCCTGCAGCGGAGCGCGCGAACTTAAGCACTCGACCATGGGGCAAGCCCCTCTTTACACCTCTTAAAAAATGCCCCTTCGGATGGAGTGTTGACATGATTTCTAGCATATAGTTTGTGTGTGAAACAGTAAATGAAGTTAACACACATAAACTTTTCATTAAAATTGCCATTGTTGAGGAGATAACTGAGAGTGAAGAAATGAGGGCCCAAGAGCATTTCAAAGTATAATTGTACTCATGGTAAGCATGTGGACAGCACGAAGTATGTTTCCATTTAAATTTGGGATAAATTGTTCTTCAGATTTGCTTGAAACCTGGAACAGTGTTTCTCAAAATGTGGTTGATGGACTGCTTTGGTCAGGATCCCCTGGGGTGTATTTTAAATATAAAGGTCTGGGCCTACCTCAGACACCTTCCCTGTCAAAATCTCTGGGGAATGGGAAGTCAGCATCTGTATTTTTAACAAACTCCATGCATGATTCTTAATGCCAGAAAAGTTTGATACCCACCTGTCCAGAATTAAAATAAATGCTCCACTGAATTAATTTAGTATAGGTAATGGTCTGATTTTAGAGAATATTTTTATTAATGAGAACTACTTAGGTGAAGATGAATTCAATTAAGGGCTAGTTTGAATACAAGATAAAAGAACAAGATAAAAATCTCTTTGGTATTCATTAGAATGACATCTACAGCTAAGATTTTATGCTTCTCTTGAAACTTCTGAGATACATTCTGAGCAAGAAAAATTTTAGAAAGGTCCCATGGAACATACAGATCCATCTCAGCAGTCTTCTTGCAGAATTTGACATTTTCAAACCATATCCTCCCAGGGATGGGAGATGTACTGTTCCTGAGCCTTTGACTGCGTTGCTGACTTCTTTAGTAGTTCCATGTTGCTGTTAAGACATCAGGACACAGTCTTCATTATGTGGTGTCACAGGAGCAACAAAGGAAGCCTGTTAAAGACCCACTGAAGTGGTTATATAAACTCTTTCTCCAGAATCCCCTTTGAGGATTGTGATAGTCTCCTCAGACTGCCATACTCAAGTACCACAGACTGGCGTAAGCATCAGACATTTATTTTCTCATGGTTCTGGATGCTCATCTATGATTAAGGGGCAGAAAATTCGGTTTCTGGTGGGGACTCTCTTGCTGGCTTGCAGACTGCCACCTCCTTGCCACCTCTTCGCACGGCCTTTGCTCTGTGCTTGCTTGGGAGTCACAGGGGTGAGAGGTCTGGGCTAATGTCCCATTCGCTTCTTGTAAGGACACCACCTATCCAATTAGGGCCCCTCCTTATGACCTCGTTTAAGCTTAATTACCTACTTAAAGGCCCTATCTTCAAATCCAGTCACACTGCGGGGGAGGGCTTCAACATATGAATTTTGGGGTGGGGGACATAACTTCGTTCATAGTAGGGTGTTTTCAGTGCCATTGACCTTGTTATTCAGTCTTCCAACTCTAGGAGGTCACAAATATATTTTACTCATTTCCATGGAATTTTTCTTTCAAACTGGGCCAAATAATATAAGTTCTTAGCGGCCATAGGCTCTTGTTTGGATCACCTCTAGAAGTTATCTAATTTGGCTGTTGATGCTAGCTCATGTAGCTGACGCCGCAGTATGGAAATGTTTGTTGTCAGTGGGCTGTAAAGCTGTTTGTAAGTGGCCTTGCTTTGTAGGCTTCTTCACGGTGAGCCTTCTTGGAATTCAGTGCAATGGCAGAACGTTGGCTTTATCTATGGTGCAAGTTACTATTTATCTGTCTCATAGAACACTGAGCACACTGACATTTGGTTATGAGAACAACACTGTTGAGGTGGTATTAGTGGACATTTTATCTAAACACAAGAGGGCCAGCTACAGGTTATCTCTAAATACAGTAAATACAGTTATATCTAAAACAGTGCTATCCAATAGAATTATAATGCAAGCTGTAAATGTAATTTTAAATTTTCTAGTGGCTACAAAATAAAAAGGTTAAGTTTTAAAAAAAAATATTTTACTTAACCCAAAATATTGAAAATATTCTGATTTCAACATGTGGTCAGTTTTTAAAAATATTGATGATATCTTTCACATTGTTTATTTGTAATAAGTCTTCAAAATATGGTGTATATGTTACACTTACAGCACATCTCAATTCAGACTAGCCACCTTTCCCATGCTCAATTGCCACATGTGGCTAGTGGCTAATGTATGGGATCAAAAATATCAAAAATATC